ACACGTATGAAGAGTTCCGTGTTTTCCCAAAAATAAGACCCAGTCCTATATTTTTTTTTTCATCAAAAAAAGACACCAGGTCTTATTTTGGGGGGGGGTTGTCTAACACTGACTCACCTTGCAGCAGCAACACTGACAGCCCTGCCCAGCAGAAGCCCGCTGCCAGCCCACTTCTTATGCGCCCGCTTGCTACTGTTTCGTTGTCAGAGGCCGTCAGGAAAGGCCTCTGCAGCTGAGAAACTGGCTCTGAATTGATCTGGAGCTCTGTTATTGGCTGCAGAGGGCTTTCCGGAAGGGCCTCTGACGGCGAAATGGAGGCCAGGGGCAGCATGCACGTCAATCCGGAGCCTGTTTCTCAGCTGCCTTACCTGAAGGCCTCTGACAGCGAAACAGGCCAGGGGTGACATGCACAAGTGGCCGCAGAAGAAGTGGACCAGCAAGGCGAGGCAGGTGTCGGAGTGTGCGAGGCCTGGTAAGTAGGGCAGATCCACCACCCCCATCCCCACCCTAGCTTAATTTTTACCTGTGCACCTTACTCCAACCCTTGCACCCTGGAATGGGTGGGTCTTAATTAGGGTTTATTTGGGGGGGGCAGGTCTTATATTGGGCACACATGTAAAAATTAAGCTAGGACTTACTTTCGGGGTAGGTCATATTTTGGGGGAAACACGGTACTTTATTGCTTATGCCTGTTTCACAGGAATCTTTCCAGACTGGCAGTTTGCACCAAACTAGATAAGATTCAGTGGCATTCAAAGGGAATAAGATCTGCTCTCTTGTGCCTGTATAAGGATTCCAGACCAATTACTTGCTTGACTCCTCCCCCTGGCTCAGCTGGTCTCTCTCCAACAGATAACTTTTTTTTTTTTTTAATTTGATTTATATGCCGCCCTTCTCCGGAGACTCAGGGCGGCTTACAATGCGTTAAGCCAGTGGTCCCCAACCTTTTTATCGCCGCGGACCAATCAGCCTTTGATAATTTTACCGTGGCCCGCTGAGCGCGCGCAGGAGTGGGGGCTTTGGGCCACACGTGCATACCTGCGCGGGGCTCTCTTCCCTGGAGCCTTTGCGCACGGCCCAGGAGCTTTTGCGCATGGCCCAGGAGCTTTTGCGCACGGCCCAGGAGCCTTTGCGCTGCAGCGTTCATGTCCCCCGGCCGCTGCGCGGCCCAGTGCCAGGTACTCCACGGCCCGGCACTGGTCCGCGGACCGGGGGTTGGGGGCCACTGCGTTAAGCAATAGCCTTCATTCTTTTGTATATTTTATACAAAGTCAGCTTATTGCCCCCACAAACTGGGTCCTCATTTCACCTACCTTAGAAAGGATGGAAGGCTGAGTCAACCTTGAGCCTTGGAGAGATTCGAACCAGCAGAAATTGCAGGCAGCTGTGTTAATGACAGGGTGCACTAAACCACTGTACTATCAAGGCTCCTTGATAGTACCGGGAACTTGGGAAGGGTTTCCAAGTACCAATCCTCTACTCCACATCCCTCCTTCCCAAAAACAGGCAGCTAAAAGTATAACCAAGAAAACAACATAATTTTGATATGAACGCTGGGACCTCAGTGCTCATATGGAAGCTGAGAGTGTCCAGTTCCTTAATTCTAAGCTTAATTCTCCATCACTGGACGAGGCCTGCTACAAACCCCATTTTGCTAAGGAATTCTGGCAGGCGAAGTCAGAGAAAAGCCTTTTACCCTGTGGCCCCAACCCTATGAAACACCCTACCATCGTAGGGGAGAACTGCTCCCATGTGCTATTGGCCTTCTGAAAGGGTATTAAAACTTGTTTTACTAATTGGCTTGGGCCCCCAACCACTGCTGGAGGTGGTTGACAGGGAAAGACCTCCTCCCTGTACCATCTGTCTCTTGGTTCCTGGTTTTTTGCATGTTTTAAAATTTTAATTTGCATAGTTTTAAAATTTTAGTTGCTTTTCTATTTACCTTTTTACGATCTGTAAGCCATCCAGAGTTGTCTTATCAGGAAGCTGGGTGACATATACATACATACATACATATATATATACATACATACATACATAAATTCTCTTTGTTTACATACAACTCTACCTGTTAGGTTTTGTAATTGAAGGAAAAACTGTGTCTATGCTGCAGTCTTGAAGTTGCCCCATTGCTGATCTCTGTAACAAATAATCTTCCCTTCCTCCTTTCCTTTCCTTTCCTTCCCTTCCCTTCCTTTTTCCTTTCCTTTCCAATATTGCAGTGTACATCGGGTGCTTTTCTGATTTATAGTCAGTGAATTAGCCACCAGTTGCTTAGAATGATTTGTTTATTGATTGTAGAAGCCATTTAATTCCAAGTGTGGCATTTTTTTGTCGAAATCATTATTGCTTTCACTGTTGACAGTTTATGAGGAATGACATTGCTAATATGATAATACAGCTTGATTCAAAGATAGGCCATGTGGCAAGATGATGTAGCTCTCACCTTGTTTTCTCAGTTGGCTTTCAGATTATAATAAATCATGTGAGAGCTTAGTTGTGTGCTGCCTCAAAGTGCAAACAATGGCAAGAAAGAATTGTCCATTTAAATGCACTGGTCAATCTAATTTCCATGACCGCCTTCTGCCACAGTAGCCTCCCACCGACCAGTACGCTCCCACAGAGAGGGGCTCCTCAGGGTGCCGTCGGCCAAACAATGTCGGCTGGCGGCCCCCAGGGGGAGAGTCTTCTCGGTGGGGGCACCTACCCTCTGGAACGAGTTGCCCCCGGAGATACGGCGGATCCCGGATCTGCGCACTTTCCGCCATGCCTTAAAGACGTTTTTGTTTCATCAAGTCGGGCTGACCTGACCAAACTTTAAATTGCTTTAATTTTAAATAGTTAAATTATGGGTTTTAATATGGGGGTGTCTTAACTGTGGGCCAAATTAATTTAATTGGATTTTAATATTGTTTTAATTTTTGTATTCTCTGTTTTTTATCTGCTGGCTGTTCACACACACACACACCCCGAGTCCTTTGGGACAAGGGCGGTATACAAATACAATAAACATAAACATAATAATCATAAACATAAACATGACTACTTTCGAAGGCTTGTGTGGGTTTTTTCAGTTACCGTCAGATGGTGTCACTCTTGAGAATTGGAGCTTAATTCATTTCAGTGGTAGAAGAATGTTTTGGATAATATTAGTAGTATTACCCTTATCCTTTCTATACTTGGTCTTTTTTTTTTCTTTTTTGTGCCCTAATAGTAAATATGGTTTTTTTATTTGATATAATCCATATATCTTCTTCCTGGTTTAGAAGATACTGCAGTTACATTTCCCCAGTAATCAAACTGTAAGTATGATTACATCCAGGGGTGAAATGCTCCCAGTTCGGACGGGATCACCCGATCCGGTAATGATAGCAACGGGTGGTTCAGAGAACCGGCAGCAAAAATCCCTACCCCCTCCTCCATGCCCAGCTGAGCTGTGCGATCATCAGAGGCTTTTTCTTTTTTTACTTTTAAAAGCATTTTTTCTACAAGCTCTTCGGCCAAAAAAAATGCTTTTAAAAGTTTTAAAAAAAAGCTTCTGATGATTGCGCGGTTCAGCTAGGATCCTCAGAGGCTTGTAAAAGCATTTTTTTTCTGCAACCTCTTAAGGTTGTAGAAAAAATGCTTTTAAAAGTAAAAAAAAAAAAGTTGGTCACGCCCACCCAGTCACATTACCCCCCACCAAGCCACACCCACAGAACCACTAGTAACAAATTTTACATTTCACCACTGATTTCATCTTAAATATTCCAGTGACTAACTGAGCCAAATCTAATTGAAGACATAATATCTGTGCAGACTCAGAATTACTTGATAATATGCGCATGAATACTTCCTTGTTATTGTGATATGGAGTGTAGAATGGCAAAATTTCTCACCTGTTAGGGAAAGCAAAGCAAGGTATAATGGCTCAGTTCCATTGCTCTACTTTTGGGGAATATCCAAGACAACCCTTTTTGCGCAGGTAAGTGCTTCCTTCTTTATGTGCTGGGCTACAACTTCCTATCATCCACCGCCATGTCCTTTGAGGTATGTTTACAAGTTTTACAGAAGTTCTTTCTGTGTTTCTTCTCTACTACGGTATAAGTGCAATTTGAGGACTGAAGAAGACCTACAGATAGTCCTTGCTTAATGACTGTTTTATGACTGTTTGAATTTATGACAGCTACAGAATGGGTGCTTTATGGTCTATTGTAAATGGTTCACTGCCTCCCTCCACAGTCACATGGCTGCACGTTGGGTGGCTTGACTTTATATCCGATCATGACATTCTATGCTCACGTCACCGTGATTTGCAATGTTTTTTGCTAGTTTCCCACAAAATTGCCCATTCAGTAGGTTCACTTAACAACCATGGAGTTTGCTTAATGACTATGATGTTTGCTTAACAATTACCACAAAAATGGCCAGAAATTTTCTTCTGGTCACTAGACTTGACTTAAGACCTTAATGATTTACAACTATAATTCTGGGCTCAATTATGGTCGTAAGTCAAGAACTACATGTACATGTCCTCCCATTTCTGCCACTGTTGGTGATGTGGAGCCAGGTGCCATAGAGGGTGTTGCTAGTTTGGATCTGGGTGTGAAGGCAAACCATCTGCTTAATCCATCTAAATTTTACTAGAATTGACTCCACTCTAGTTGGAAAAGCAGGACATAAAATGGCAAATAAGAAAAAAGGAGAAGAGATAGCAGTGGAACTGAGCTATGCAGGAGGACTGGAAATACTAAATGCTTTTTGATGAATTGACAGTTACGATTTTTCCCCCCTTGTAGCACCTGAGATAATGTAGAAAAAAGACTTATTTTGATCTCATTCTTCTATTATTTCCATCATCTTTTTAATTGCTGCTCCCTTGTTGTTTCTTTGCTTTGAATTGCATTCTGTAATCCAAAATGCACCGAGGGATAAAATGTTTTTCAGGTTGCTTCTGCTGTTGAATAATTGGTTCTTTCTTCTATTCTTTCTCTTTTTTCTTCCCACTTCTCTTTCTGCAGAAGGACGGATGCTGATTCAAGACATTCCTTCCCTGGCCAGCAGAGGGCATCTGGAGAGCACATCTGACTTAGTTATGGACCCCACCTACTACAGCAGTTTATACCAGCCATCCCTGTATCCTTATTACAACAACCTGTACAACTATTCTCAGTACCAAATGGCTGTGGCCACCGAAACCACCTCTGGTGATATGGGAAGCCCATTGTCAGGGTCACCTGTTAAGAGCAGCCTCCGAAGCCTCCCAACAACTTATATGTCAAGCCAGTCGGGAAACCAATGGCAGGTACTGTATAAATGAGTAAAGGCAGGGCCTTGTTTGATAAATTAAGATTATTCTGAGTTTTCTTTGAGAATCACTGGAATTGCTGTGGTTCTACAGGTTCAAAGCATATGACCTCTTCCCTAACTTGATATTCCCTGGGGGTTTGGGGATAAAACTGCCATTATTCCCAGTTATTATTGCTAATTGTCAGTGATGATGGAAATTGTAGTCCACCATATCTAGGGAAGAGCAGATGTGTTAAAAAAAAGACCAACATAGAATTATGATACTTACTCTTAGATTCTTCCCTCCTCAAAATAGGTATATGTTAATTAAGATTCTGCCTTCAGATTTATTGGGAATCTGTGTTTATCACCATGTCGGGAGTCATTCTTTTTGTTGTTACTGGTTTTATATTTTTACATAAATGTAACTAGAATGGAGCGTTTGACCAGAACTGAGGATATTGGTTCAAATTCCCACTTAGCCATGAAGCACCTTTGACTGTTGCTCATCCTGCCAGATCCAACGGAATTGGTGTGCAGAAAAACGGGGTGGTAAAAATCATAGTGTTTGTGCAGAATAAATAAATAACAGAACCTGCTATTGGTCTGGATAAAGACTTACCACATTACTTCATTATCTTGCATCAGTGGGAACTGTACTTGGATATAAACCAGGGGCGGGTTCCAAATCCCATTGCTACCGGTTTGCTCGTGCGTGCACGCGCGGCACTTCTGTGCATGCACAGAAGGGTCCGGGCGGGTGGGCAGAGCCGTCACTACTGCCGTCACTACCAGTTTGCCTGATCCGCTGCGAACTGGTAGCAACTCAGCACTGATAAAAACCCCACTGAATAAAAGATAATAGCCTGAAAAGCATAAAAAAAAATACGATATACTGATGCAGATCATGCTTCTGTCTAGTATGAGCGGCAATGGCTCTTTAACGTTCCAGGCTGAAATTTTTCCTGGAGATACAACCTGGGCTTTCAGGCCGCAGATCCTCTGTTCTACCACTTGCCTGCAACCTTGGAGTAATTACACTTCATGCAGTTAGGGACCTATCCAACTAGGAAGAGCTATTTTTCAAAACTACCCAAAGAGAAATTGTAACACTTTTTACAAAAAGATGATTCTCAGCAGGGGTGAAATCTAAAATTTGTTACTACTGGTTCTGTGGGCGTGGCTTGGTGGTGGGGGTGGGGGTAATGTGACTGGGTAGGCGTGGCCAATTTTTTTTTCTTTTAAAATCATTTTTTACATGTAAAACCATGTAAAAAAAAAAGCTTTCAAAAGGCTCTGACGATCCCAGCTGAGTTGCCTGATCCCTGCTGCCATCGCTACCTACTTGCCCGAGCCGGTCCGAACCGAGAGCATTTCACCCCTGATTCTCAGGAACAAGAGTCAAGTCTTAGGCAGATGACCTTTTAAAGGTTGGAGATACCGTAAGCATTTCCCCTTCTTTGACAAGGATAGTGATAAAAGAAAAGGCTGTTCGGAGGCTTCAGACAATGATATTGCCTGTATATGAATTATGCACGTCTTTAAAGCTTTATATATTTTTTTTAAAAAATGTCCCAAATTACCAGTTTCCTTTTCAAGGGCCTCTGTTCTTATTTCCTTCCTGTGGCAGTGATTGGGAAGGCAATATGAAGTAATTGCCATGGAAAGCTAAAAGGAAAAATTAATTGGGTGTACCAACAGGTACCGGTATATTACATTATTAATTGCAAGAGGCGTTGAGCTTGTTGACCTAAACAACTTGTGTGTGAAGGATTTAAGAAAACTCAGGCATCATTTAAGCTCTTTAGAATGTGATAACTGAAGGCAGTTGCTACCTCAGCTAAGAAGGTGTTACTCCCATCACCTCTACCCTCAAAGCTCACCTCAGGTGGGAGTCACCTAAAATGATTGAGGTGCCTGTGCTAGACATGAGGGTAGTAACGCATTGAAGGAGTTGACTGCACGAGAGGCCCTATTTCAGGGCCCCACATTCCTAGTGGCTGATGATGCTGGTTCCAAAGCTCTTTTATAAAATCTACAGAATCCATGTAATGGCCAGTGATTAGAAGCCCTTGTTCCCTCAGCAGGGTCTTCCATCATCTTGTGAATTCTGAAAATTGCAGACCCAACATAGGGAAAGGCTAGTCTTAAGAGGTGTATATAGAAATATAAAGTCAAGATTTTAAACCACGGTTTGTTGAACAAAGTATCATAGTTGCTGTTATTAATACAGGTAGTCCTCAATTTACAACAGTTCATTTAATGACCGTTTGACGTTACAACAGCACTGAAAAGTGACATTTTCACACTTAACCATTACACAGCATCCCCATGGTCACGTGATCAAACTTCAGACGCTTGGCAACTGACCCATATTTTTGGCAGTTGCAGTGTCCCGGGGTCACATGATCACCTTTTGCGACCATCTGACAAGCAAAGTCAAGGGGAAGGCCAGATTCACTTAACAACCGTGTTACTATCTTAACAACTGCAGTGATTCACTTAACAACCTTTCTTGCCACCATTGTTAAGTGAATCACTGAAGTTGTTAAGTTAGTAACACGGTTGTTAAGTGAATCCAGCTTTCTGATTTTGCTTGTCAGAAGGTTGCAAAAGGTGGTTGTATGACCCTGGGACAATGCAACTGTCAAATATGAGTCAGGTGCCAAACATCTGAATTTTGATCATGTGACCAAGGGATGCTGCAGTGGTCATAAGTGTGAAAAACGGTCATAAGTCGCTTTTTAAAATGCCTTTGTAACTTTGGTCATTAAATGAACTGTTGTAAGTTGAGGACTACCTTTACTGTAGTCACTGAAGCAAAGAATGTTGTTTGAAAGTAGCACTAACACCAGTGTGTGACTACATTTTCAGCAATCGTGTTTTGGGGGTGGGTTCCAAGGATTTCAGCAAAGGAACTTAAAAGCCACAGTTCGCTCCATATCTCAGTGTAAACCTGAAAAGCAGCAGTTGTTCAGATCCTTGAACAATTTGTACTAAATCCCTCCAATCAAATTAAAATTATCCCACTGCCTTTGTCCTTTACCTAATGCTTACACAGAATATTTCATAAAAATAGTGTGCTAGACCATGGTCCAAGATTACAGTCAAGGAGAGGATAGAAACATCACATGCAAAATAAGAGAAATAGATGGAACCAGTGGTCCAATGAGCAGATCTGCTGGTATACACTAATTAGTTGTTCCTACTTGGTTTTTCTTGTCAGTTGACATTGCTAAACCAACTATGGTTTGCTTTAGCATTATTTCCAAACCAGGATTGTTTTCCCTTATAAATGATAGTCATAAGCTAAGAAGAAAAAAATAGTTCTGGTTTATTGAGAAAAACGCAAGCCAAGATTCATATTGATTTGTTCACCATAGTGGTAAAAAAGCCACTGAAGGAACGTCCTTGATTTCTCTAACTCTCCCATGTGAGAGAAGAAGGTACCTAGGAATGATCAAGCAGGGCATGACAGCTGGATCATTTCTGCTGAATGTTGTTTGAACTGGTTCAAAACTGCCTTGAAACGCCTTGTGTAGATTGTTTATTCGCATATGAAAGAGAACTATAGAATGTTGTCATAGATGTTCTACTAATTGAATGCCAGCATTGTTTTTAAATTAGTCATGACTAATCTATAAAATAGCCAATTATAATTTAAACATTGGATTTAATATTAACATGTAGTTGAATTATGTCAGCAACTTGAATCCATTCTGGTTTGTCATTCAGACAGCATATTGTACACTGTACAACGCAGATTTATGCTAAAAGTAACCTAATGTTTCTGACAGCTCAAGTGTGACATGAATATAATCCATATTTCTTAGAGAAACTAATCTAAGTTGTTTATTTTCCGATACTGCTGATAGGACTATATCTCTTGGTGTCACAGTGGTTGAGATTCCGATGGTAACGTATTGTTTGTGGATCACTGCTTTTGTCTAAAAGAGTAGATTGGAAGAGAATAGCAAAGGTTAATTGAGTTTGTCTGTCAAGGTGGGACAGATACAGATGGTCCTTTTGTATAAAAATTACCTTTTCCACTTAGAATCCATGGGAGGCAAGCACAGCATCACTGTGTATCTTTTAATGGTGGAAAAAGTCACTTGGGGGTTTTAGAATTAAAATTTAAAAGCAATTATGGTATGAAGATGCTCAGTACTTATGATAATCCTTATTGTATGATGATTCCATATAATTCTGAATTCCAGAGCAGTTTGGGCAATCTCCTGATATATTGTCTTCAAATTCTTGACTCTCACCAACAGCCATATTGTTTTTGGATTCTGGAAATTGAAATCTGCAGAATTCAAGAGCATCGGTTTGGGATAGAATACCCTAGAAGGAACCTTTCTTAACTTTCTCAACATTTAAGATGTATTGAAACTCCCCAAATTCTAGCAAATTTGCTTGCTAGTATTTACCATTCCAACATATCTGGATGTCATATTAGAGAATGTTTCCATAGGTGATTACTACGGTCAGTCCATAGGAGAGGATAATATGGGAATATATGACCAGTTATTAACAATATATTTAGTTCAACAAAAGGCACAAAGATCTGGATTGATTTCCTTTGAGAGGCTTTGTTCAAACAACAGTTGGCAAAAATAGCATCCGATCGTAAAGTGTCCAATGATGGATTTGGTAATATCTACTGGTAAGATGTACAAGCCAGCTTTTCTGAATCTCATCTGCCTTGATTCTGAAACAAGAATAGATAAGAGGAAGTTTACAAAAGTCATAATTTATTTGGTATAGTTGCTTTAAAAGTGTTTATTTCCTAGATTGGAAGATTGAGGTACCTCTCTCTTAAATCTTATTGCCACCTTCTCTTATCCCCAGTCCTAATTATGTATTTTTGAAACATATATGACACATTGAAGCATACGTGTTTATTGTCAGACTAAAAGAGTTCACTGTCAGCATGATCTGAGTCCGTTTAATGAATATCATGCTACAGTCAAGCATTTTAATGTTTGGCTAGTTCATTATTGTTATTATAAAATAGAGTAACTAAACTCTATAAAAAGGAAACCTTGTGGTTCAGATTTACTGTGTTTTATATATTCTAAATACTTTAATAAAATAAAAATGAAAGCTTTTTAGTTTTTCCTAGTGGTTAATTCAACACATTGTTTGCAGAGCCTTGGCTCACCTCTATCTGTCGGTCGTACTGTGGTTCACAGGCTTGGTGCAGATAATAAGATTATAAAGCATGTCTTTCTAGGCAAGGAGCATATACTACTAGTAATAGTTGTAATAATTCATTGGATCCTGGGAAATTAGTTGGCTTTTTTAAAGAGTAAGAAATGGGAGAAACACAAGAAGGCTCAAAAGGAAACAGGTCATTGCCTACATAAGGTAAACAACGTAGAAATCCTTTAAGCACCAGTGGGTAGTAGTGCAATTTATTGCTTCTGAAATTATATTATCCTTTTGCAGTTATTATTTTTAGAGGGTGCACAAAAAACCAAAAGGAAATACAGATTTTTTTTTCACAGCAAAATAAAAGGAGATCGTGAACAGCAGGCTTGAAAAAACAGCCTGTACAAAAAGGTCGCCCTAAGAAGTGTTTCTCAATTTTCTTCCTGGTTGAAAAATAACTTCCAAGGTCATGATTCAGAGTTCTAGTAAATTGGTAACCTCCTATACAGGTAGTCCTCAATTTATGACTAATACCCTTATACTCTTGCCTCCTACTTTCCCCATAACAACGACCCTGTGAGATAGGTTAGGCTAAGAGCGAGAGACTTTTGCCTGGTCTTTCTTACAAAATTCAGCAGAAAGAATATATGTGAAGCCTGAAAACTTACTACATAAAGAATGTCCATTGAAATACACAATTCCCCCATGTACACTTTTTCTTTGTGTATACGTGAGTGCTATTTTACTTTGCTGCAATTCATATTCTGTAGTTGCACTCTGCAGTTTTGAAGCATGAAAATTTTAATGTTCCTGGTTTGGACAAGATCTGTAACACATTCATCTGAGATGTTCAAATCTTTTGCTTTCCTGCAACCAGAATGTCTTCTTGGCTAAAAGAAGATTGAGGTTTGAAACGAGATGTCTCATTTCGAAATTAAAGCTTTGCTTGGCATTTTTACGCTTCTTATGTCAAATTTGTAAATAGCTTATATTTTCTCGCGAACTGAAACGACTTTGCCAGAGAATAAATAATTTGCCTGCTTGACAGCCCTGCAATAAAGTGTTGATCAGTTGAGAAACTGAATATTGTACGGGGCAATATGCTGTCATGATATCCTTACTTCCTTTTTACTGAAGACAACAAATTCTTTATAGTGATCTCCACATATGAAAGTTGGAAACTGGATTGCTTGGAAGAGAATTGAAAGCACTCCAGCTTTATCTCTTCCCTCGTACCACTTTGGTCTCCTCATCATTACTAATCAAAGGGCTGGAGGCATTTGAAGCAGTATCCAAAACCTACAAAATCTTGAGCAGTAGCAACACAAGCTATTTTATTTATTTATAACATTTATTGGCCACCCATCTTACCTCAGAGAGTAACTCTGGGCAGCTTACAATAATAAAAAAATAAAAACTATATAAAGATAAACATGAATAGTGTTGGCAGGGTAGCCTTTATAAGACCTGGGCACTACTTTAGGCTTTCAAAATGCCTTTCTAGGGATGGAAACGATAACACTGAAATTTTCCACATGGAAGTAATCAAACATTTCAGGCCTAACATTCTCATGCAGAGAGTTCCAGGGATAAATTCAACAGGAGGATAGCACAGGGTGAGGAAAACTCCCCATCCAATGTAGGTTTTCTCTCCTTACAAGCTTCTATGATGTGCTCTTTCTGCTGTTTCTCTTAACAGGTGAAAAGCCCAGAAGGTCGGCACAGTTTGAGTTCCCAGTACAGGATGCATTCTTACTATCCTTCCAGCTCTTACTTGGGACAGAGTGTTGGGGCCCCTGCCTGTGTTCCCCAAATTTTTACTTTCGAGGAGAATCCTTCTTATTCTGACACAAAAGCAAATGGTAAGCATCTTGTCAACCTTCATGGGAGGTGTCGGGGCGTCTACTGAAAAGCCAGTGGTTGAACTGGGTAGAGGCTGGTAACATTGGAGATGGATAACATTTTATTAAAATTTTCTGGATGACTCTTAAAATGGCTGCTTACTTCCACTTTATGGTAATCATTTTTTTTCTCCAGCATTATTCCTTCCTTAAGAGAATAAATATTTCCAAGTTTTGGTTTATGTTGGTGCTTAGGGACTTCTTGAAAATCTGTGTGGTTTTGCAGCCTGCAGCTGTTGGCATAACACTAAATCCTTCAACTTGAATAGTTTGCGATATATAAATTGTTGGGGAGCAGTATTTTACTCCTTCTCCTCAACACCTTGCCCTCCATATGTAGCAGACTGGCAAATCTGGGACTGTTCTCCAACCAATCTAGAGGGAGTCTAGTTGGTGAAAGTTGTTTGTAGGAATTTGAAGGAGGAGAATTGTATACCTTGTGCATTTTTAAATTGCAAAAAATTCAGTGTTTTCCATCACTATTGACTACTTGTCCAGGCAATATTCCAGATTATGATATTGTTCCCTAAATTAATCCATCAATCAGCAACAGACAAGCAGGGAGATGTAATTTACTGAGCTCAAGCAGACTTTTCTCAGCTGTGACAAAGTATTTTTCCATAGCAGGGTGACCTGCCAGCCTGAGAAACCCAGGTACGCTTAGGAAGGGTGTGAATACAAAATCACACAGCATACTTTTTGGGTGATCCTTCTAATAGTTCCTCCGTCTTCCTGATACAATGATCATTTCAGGTACACGTTTCTATTTTATTTATTTATTTATTTATTTATTTATTTATTTATTTATTTATTTATTTATTATTCGAATTTCTATACCGCCCTTCTCCTTTCGGACTCAGGGCGGTGAACAGCCAAAATAAAAACATTTATACATAAATACGATTAAAAATAGATTTAAAATAATTAAATTTGGCCCATAGTTTAAAATTTATCAATTTAAAATCCATATCAAAATTTAAAACCAATCATAAAATCAAGAGAGACCGGCTAACTGAAAGAGATGAGTTTTTAGGGCCCGACGAAAGGTCCGGAGGTCGGAGATCACTCGTATCTCTGGGGGTAGATTGTTCCAAAGGGTAGGTGCCACCACAGAGAAGGCTCTCCTCCTGGGGGTCGCCAGCCGGCATTGTCTAGCCGACGGCACCCTGAGGAGGCCCTCTCTGTGGGAGCGAACTGGCCGGTGGGAGGCAATTGGTGGCAGAAGGCGGTCCCGTAAGTACCCCGGCCCTAAGCCATGGAGCGCTTTAAAGGTGGTCACCAACACCTTGAAGCGCACCCGGAAGTCCACCGGAAGCCAATGCAGCTCGCGCAGGAGAGGAGTCACATGGGAGCGCCCAGTCGCTCCCATAATCCCCCGCGCGGCCGCATTCTGCACCAGTTGGAGCCTCCGGGTGCACCCCAAGGGGAGCCCCATGTAGAGAGCGTTACAATAGTCCAGACGAGAAGTGACGAGTGCTTGAGTGACTGTGCGTAGGGAGTCCCGATCCAGAAAGGGGCGCAACTGGCGTATCAGGCGAACCTGATAAAAAGCCCCCCTGGCCACGGCCGTCAGATGCCCTTCTAAGGACAGCCGTGCATCCAGGAGGACGCCCAAGTTGCGGGCCCTTTCCGTGGGGGCCAATGAGTCACCCCCAATAACCAGCGATGGCGTCAGCTGGCTATACCGGGACGCCGGCAGCCACAGCCACTCGGTCTTGGAAGGGTTGAGTCGGAGCCTGTTTCTCCCCATCCAGACCCGCACGGCCTCCAGGCACTGGGACATCACTTCCAAGGCATCGTTGGGATGGTCTGGGGTGGAGATGTACAGCTGAGTATCATCAGCGTACTGATGGAACTCCACCCCAAAACCACGGATGATCTCACCCAGCGGCTTCACATAAATGTTGAACAGGAGGGGCGAGAGGACCGACCCTTGTGGCACCCCACAAACAAGGCGCCTCGGGGTCGACCGCTGCCCCCCTGTCAACACGGATTGCGACCGGTCGGAGAGATAGGAGGAGAACCACCGCAAAACGGTGCCCCCCACTCCCAGTCCCTCCAGCCGGCGCAACATGATACCATGGTCGATGGTATCAAAGGCCGCTGAGAGGTCTAACAGGACCAGGATAGAGGAGTAACCCCTATCCCGAGCCCTCCAGAGATCATCCACCAACGCGACCAATGCCGTTTCCGTGCTGTACCCAGGTCTGAAACCGGACTGGAGCGGATCCAAATAGACAGCTTCATCCAGGTACTGTGGAAGCTGTCGCGCCACCACACTCTCAACAACCTTCGCAATAAAGCGAAGGTTGGAGACTGGACGATAGTTAGCCAAAACAGCCGGATCCAGGGATGGCTTCTTGAGGAGAGGCCTCACCACCGCCTCTTTCAAGGCGGCCGGCAGGACACCCTCACTCAAAGAAGCGTTGATAATTCCCTGGAGCCAGCCTCGTGTAACCTCCCGGGAAGCCAGCACCAACCAGGAGGGACACGGGTCCAATAAACATGTGGTGGCGTTCAGCCGTCCCAAGATCCTGTCCACGTCCTCGGGAGCCACAGGATCGAACTCCTCCCAGATAACATTCTCAAGGCCTGCCTCAGTCATCTCGTCTGAACTAACCCAGTCAGTGGCCAAGTTTTCCCGAATCTGAGTTATTTTATCATCCAGATACTGTACAAAATCCTCAGCTCGGCCCTGCAAGGGGTCCTCCCGCGCTCCCAGATGGAGAAGGGAGCGGGTCACCCTGAACAGGGCGGCTGGGCGGTTATCTGATGACGCGATAAGAGCGGCAAAATAGCTAGATTTCGCCGCTTTTATCGCCACTAGGTAGGTCTTAATATGAGACCTTACCAGTGTCAAGTCGGATTCGGAACGACTGGCCCTCCAACCGCTCTCTAGGCGTCTTTTCCGGCGCTTCATCTCTCTCAGCTCCTCGGAGAACCAAGGAGCTAAGTGAGTTCGGTGCCGGGTCAGAGGCCGCAAAGGCACGACCCGGTCCAAAGCCCCGGCAGCCGCACTATCCCAGGCGGCCACCAGGTCATCAGCCGAGTCGTGAGCTAGAGTTTCAGGAAATGGCCCAAGCTCCATCTGGAACCTATCAGGATCCATCAGGCGCCTGGGGCGGAACCACCTGGTCGGCTCCGCCTCCCTGCGACGGGGTGCGGCGGTCAGAAAGTCAAGTCGAAGGAGCGAGTGGTCAGACCATGACAAGGGTTCAGTATCTATATCCCCTATATCAAGGCCACTCAACCACTGACCAGAGACAAAAACTAAGTCCAGAGTGTGTCCCCCCATGTGAGTAGGGCCATGAATTACTTGGGTCAGGTCCATGGCCGTCATGGAAGCCATGAACTCCCGAGCTACCTCAGAAGTTTCACCAATGGATGGCAAGTTGAGATCCCCCATGACCAGAAGTCTGGGGGTATCAGCCGCCACCTCGGCTATAACATTGAGGAGTTCGGGCAGGGTCGTCGCCACGTGGCAGGGAGCCAGGTACGTGATCAACAGACCCATCTGCACCCCACGACCCCACTTCACGAAAAGGGACTCACATCCGGCTATCTGAGGCACAGTGGTCTCCCTCGGATCAAGACCCTCTCTTATAATGACCGTCACCCCCCCCGCCCCTGCCCTGAGCTCTCGGCTGATGAAATGCACGGAAGCCTGATGGGCACATCTCCACGAGGGGAACCCCCCCCCCTCATGGCCCAACCAGGTCTCCGTAATACCTGCCAGGTCCGCTCCCCCCTCCTGAATAAGATCACAAATGAGGGGGGCTTTATTTACTACGGACCTGGCATTACACAACATCAGCCGGAAACTCGGGCCCTGAGACTCTAAGCAGCCTGAGGAACGGGAAGAGCTAAGGGGACCGGGGCACGCAATCGCTCGGAGATAGCGAGCGCGTGCCCCCACCACATGATGCGGCCCCCTGCTCCCGCCATACCTGCCCCTCCCACTCAGCGTATTGATGGAAAAGCCCTCAATAGAGGGCATTCTAACAGTCCCCTTTCCCCCAGAGTCCGTACCCCCTATGGCACCATTAACAGCCAGACTGGCCTCCCTCCCCACCCCCCCTCCCCAAACCCCTTAAAAATTTACACAAAGACAATTTTAAAAAACCCCTCAGCCCCCTTTTTGCGGCATGCCACCTCTCGGGATTCCAAAATCCGTCATCGAGGTAGGCCCTTGATAACGTGGGGGGCCAAGCCTGCGAGAGGGGGGAATCTCGCAGACCAAGAAGCTCCGCTGCTGTGTACGTCTTGCCACAGGGATGGGGTGACCGTCCCCTAAAGGGTCCATACAGAAAAGTCCGAGGGAGAACATAAAAAAGACAGGAGCCACAAAAGGATTCAAGACCCAGTCCACTGTTCTCTCACAACAGAGGCCAAGTCCGTCTCCAGGTCGACACAGTCCAAGGGGGGAGGAAGAATAAATCATACCGCCCTCTCACAGCGGCTTGGCTCGATGGTCTACCCCCTTTACTGGTGAGATGGAAGTAATGGTTCAACTTGCGCACTTGGCACCCATAATATAGGTCCAAAATCCGCCCTCTCACGGCGGATTCGATGATCCGTCCCTCTGCCAGCAAAGTGTAAGTGTAAAGTGCAGGTGCCGAATGATGGTACAACAGAGACAGTACAGCACCCAGGATATAAGTCCCCAATCCGCCCTCTCACAGCGGTTTGTCCGATGGTCATTTAACCCCCCCAGTCCCCGAGGGCACTCTAAAACACCCCAGCGGAGACCCCCCCTCGATAACACACCCAATCCTCGTCTATCCTGGCTCGAAAAGATGGTCCTCGGCCACATTAGCGCCCCTCATCAAGGCCATGGGGCGCTCCTCTCCCCGCCAGAGCCAGCCGGAAGCCGGAAGTCTTCGCGAGGCCCAAGTCTCCCATCTTCTCTGTAATTGCAATAAAAAAGATAGACAGTGGAACCATGTACCATACATGTTTTG